TACGTATTTAGTGGTATACAAACACTTCATGAAAATAATAAAATCAGCTATGTTCAACATGCCCTGACCACATTTTTAGAAAGTTTTATAAATAGATAGATAAAGGCAAGGTTACCTCTTAAATTTTTAAATAAAACATATTTATCCCTTCTTTTTCCATGCCAGTGCCTCTGGTTCATACTTTGTCAATAGGATCTACTCTTCTGTTTTAGTCTCTGTACTTTCTTTGCCACCTTCTTTATGCTAATAATACCTATATGCTCATGAATTTCAGGAACTAAACCTCAAAAACTTAATGAGCTATATGATCATGAACTTCATGATCAAATCTACTGACCTTACCATATTATATTTTTTTTTAAACCCATCTTCTCTGCCAGTCTCATTAAAACCCCAATATTTGCAAAAACACAAGTCAAAAATTCATTGGAAGAGTGGATCTAAATTAAAATAGTATGAATCAACCATATGGAATCACTGACCCATGAGTTGCAGCTACAATGATAATTTTGTTAGACTATTTCAAGTGTAGGATTTTGTGATGGTGGTAAAGATTCTTTCGGAAATGGGTTTGTTATAGTATTGCAGCAGCACCCATAAGAACATGGATATGTGGAAGTTCTTGGGTCAATAAAGAGGGATAAGAAGGTCAGGATGAGATATTCACATCAGGGATACAATTACCATAAAGAATATTGTGTAAGCTTGCAACATACTCTCCAACCTTGAAAAATAAGTATAGGATTGCTTTTAAAGTTGTTGGTATAAATCAAACTTAGAACAAATTAGAAGGACGTTGGGATTCTATTGTCTCTGCTCTCGCAGCTGCAGGAGTTTCAAAGCCCTTTTGCTATTGTCTTGTGAGCCCACTCAAGCATATGTATTCTTCAAAGTTAGTACCTTCTTTACACAAAATTTAGTATTTTTGCACTGATCAAAAGCATGTTTCAGAATAAATAATACAGCATCAGCCTTTTTTTAAGCATGGCATTTCCTACTCAGGGGTAAATAAAATATTATTAGGAAGGATTTAGGAATTATATTGAAACTAGAAGACAAGACTAAGTTTATTATTCATAGAAAATACATATATTTCAGTGCCAACATAGGTATCATGTATACCTTTCAAGATAGTTAATGAACATTAGATAAGCAAGTATGGAAACAATAAAAATTGAATGCAGGACATGAATCCATTTCTTGTTTTAAAAACACAAGAGAACTTTAAAGTTGCATAGTTACTCATGCATATGAGGCTTATATTTATTCAGATGAGACAACCTGCACTTGCTTAGCCACAGATGGATATAAAGAAGACACTGTTCATCTGAAACAATGATCCTTTTACTTATCATAGCTGCTGTGTGATGTACATGTCCCATTTAAATGAAATGATTTTCACACTGTCATAAAATATTCATTAAAAATTTTCAGGCAACTTGCAATTCAAAATGTGTCACAATATCTGCTATGGATTAAAAGGGTTTGGTTTTTTTAACCATTTCTTACCTTACTTTGCTTTTACATTTATATACATTTATTCAAATATCAGTCTTATCAATTTATGCTGTTTTCATATCCTGCTTTAAAGACACATTTTGATACAGTGCTTTGTGTGCGGCATAAATTAGAGTTAAGAGTCCCTAATTTATAGATCTGTACGAATTTGTTGCAGTATTATTTAGATTTTCAGAGGAAAATGGTCACAAAAATATCCAAATGGCAGCTTGGCTTTGTTCTGTGTGAGTGTTAATTTACGTGGAAAAGAAGATGAGGAAAACCCAAGGAACCAAGGAGAGTGTTTTTATCAAGCACCATGAAATACTGATACCATTTTTGTATTAGTTTTCAAAATTAATTCACTCTGGAAAATTAATTTGGAGCTGATGTTAGTACCAATGAAGAAGCCAGTATATTCCAGCTGAGGCAGCTCTCCTGCTGGACAGCCCAGATAGGGAAGGTTATAAGCAGGTCTAATTCCCAAGGCTTCAGCTGAGCTGTGTGGTTTCATGCCAGTGGTGATTGAATGTTCTTTTCCTCTGGGAAGCATTCCACGAACTTCTGACCCTCACCCGGGACTAATTTCTGCCCATCCAGCAGCCAAGTCTGTGGAATACTAGGTACAACTGGACTCAACTGGTTTTGTACAACGGACCTGACGTTTTGAGACTTCTTTGTCCTCCATTCTCGTGGAATAAAGGGTTTGTTTGTAGCCAAAAACCAGTTGTTCTTTCCCTTAGAGGAGGTGTCCAGCTACAGCTCTCTGAAAATACTTGCTGCACTCTTATGCAGTAGGGTTTAACAGAAAATGCAAAGTTTTATTTTAAAGACTTTTGTGTGTTCTTATTTTAAAGAACACACAAGGGAAGATGGGTTGTAATTCCCACCGCTTATACCCCAGTTTCCTTATTTTACATTGTAATTAAATGATTGAAAAAAAAAAATCGGTGTCCCTCAATTCCTTCTGAATCCTTTTTCTGGGAAAGGGCGTTAAATCCCTGTGCAAGAGGTGATAAGGACTGAAGAGGCCAAAGAACTTCCTTTGGTTAGGAGGAGCCTTTGACAAAGGACTGTTGTGGAAGAAGTTGAGGGACAAAAGGTATGGAAAAGGAAGTTTTATTCACCATTGTCCTGGCCAGATGACTGTGAGGAGTTCTCATTTCATTACTTAGAATACTTTCCTGAAAACCTTTCTCAAATTCTATGCCTCTTCAGATTAAATTTATGTATAATCATAGAATCATAGAGCCATTTAGATTGGCAAGATCTCTAAGACCAAGTCCAACTATTAACCCAGCACTGCCAAGGCCTCCACTAAACCATGTCCCCAGGTGTCACATCCACATGCCTTTTGAACTCTTCCACTTTTGCACATTGCAGTAGAAAATTTAGTGTTTAATACAATATCATGCTTTCAAATTATTTCAGTCCTCTCAGTTCCTGTGGATTTGATGAGGATACAAATGACGTATTGATTTGGGGCTGCCTCAGGAGAGAGGAAAAATGTTTACTCTGAGTTCTGGCTTTCCTCTGTTTCAGTGGTAACAACAGATTTTGTGACACAGACACAGCTCCAAAAGAAAAGAGAAAGAGATTAGATATAGAGTAGTTTGGGGTTTTGTGTTGGTTTGTTGGTTTTTTTTTTTTTTTTTTTTTTTTTTTTTTTTTTTTTTTTTTTTTTTTTTTTTGTTGTTTTTTGTTTTTTTGTTTTGTTTTTTTTTTTAAAAAAAAGAATGCTTGGCAAGAAAAAGCAGCTGGTAGTGAAACAAATTGAATTCATCTGTGGTACATGGCCTCAGAAAGCTGGAAAAGTGTAGGCATGAACCATATGAAGAGCATTTCTGCTAGCTGCCTCAGCTTCTAAGAGCAAAGTAGGCAGATTACATTAGACATAAATTTATTCTTCATGAACCACTAGCAGTAATCAGATGGAGGCGCCTAAAAATCTGTCATGACTAAAAAAAAAAACAGGTGTCCTGGAAATAAAAGTGTCCAAACATGCACAGTACTTAAAAGTAATGCATCTGACAACAGATAATATAGAAGACATGAGTGTCACTGCACATAGATTTATTCCCCTATAATATGTATAGACTGAATGAGTTTTTTCTTACGCAGTTACCCTCTCTGGGTAACTATGAATTTATAATGCTACTTCTTAGCATTTATATTTGTCTACACTAAAGATGTAATAATTTATTAACATGGTAATAAATGTTTAATACTCCTGTATCATTGCACAAAACTATCTCCTTAAGCCCTGTTTCTTAAAAATATGAGGAAGGCAAACATTAAAATAAAACAACACTGTCCAAAAAATGGGTGTATTTATGCACAGATTTTTTTAAAATGTCTCATCTCTTGTTCAAAACTTCTGCTGTTGAAAGTAACAGAGATGGTCAAAGCAAAAGACCAAATCTCATGTTGGATTTGATGTGTTTTGACTAATAATTATCTTTCAGGTGGAGTACTTTTTTAAGCTAATATCCATTTAGTAGCTATAGAGAAATTGTAATGCTGGTATAAAAAAAAAAAAGGAAAAAGAAAAGAATTGGCTTAAAAATCAAGCAATATTTTTAAAATTCTGTTTAGCCCTTCCTATCCCCCCATTTAATTAGAATTCACTGATTTCAATTTTGGAAATGTTTTATTCCCAGTTTTCTGTGTTTGGTAGATATATTTCTTTTTCCAATGGCCTGAAATTTAAACTCCTGAGAAAAAAAACAAAGATAACATAACCTCTCAGGTTGTTCTGATTACTGATGATATTACCGTGGTCACTGAGTACCCAAATTTCCTTTCATGGTTATTGAAAATCAATGAACTTCTAATGTCACGTTGTACAGGATATGGTGGAAAGGACATGATGAACAGGATATGAAAGTTTCTGTCTTTCTACATAAATTGGAACTTCACTTTCACCATGTCACCTTTTCAAAATGACAGAATGCAGTTTTCCTGAAGTCTCATGTAACTTTCCTAAAATTTCTGAGAGCAGGTAATATTCAGGAATAAAAAATCTCTTCAGAAGAAAGGTGTTAAAAGAAGCCTTCATCTGTTGCATCAAGTGTAATGAATTCCTAAATAGAGCAGAAATCAAATGAGGCACTGCAGTGAGTAGCATTTTGTAGCACTATGAAAAGTTTATAAATCAGCTTTGTAAATAATATTTTAGGTTTTTGTAATGGCAATTTTCATACATATGCAATATCCAATTATCAGTATTTACCAAGTACTGATAAGATTTAACATTTTAATACATAAATTGATATAATGAAGTTTAAAAAGGAAGAAATTAAGACAAATAAAAAAGTTTGATTCATATTTTTCTCCATTTATTAGTTCTCTGTCATCACTGTAATGCAGAAGTAGATATAAAACAAACTTTGGACTCACTTTCTGAGCTGATACTTGTATGAGTGAATTATCTGCTTGTTCATTCCCCTGTATCTGTCTAAATATATCATTCTTTTTTCTTCCCTCTGTCTTTCTCTCTCCAGCAATGACAATGCAGTTCATAAGCCATCGGTTCCCTGACTATCATGACCCAACTATAGGTGAGTAGAGATAATTCTCTCCTTCACCCCTTTCAATCTCCCTGCCTATTTGAGATTGTCAGACAGTGAGAGGCTGCTCTTAAATAGCCCTTAGATAGAAACAAGATTTGCAAACTTTAGACTACAGATTAATTTTTTTATGACAATTAAACTGTGTCATGGTATTATCATAGGTATTTTGTACAAAATCTTTCAACAAGAGAGTTGTGGATTCATGTGCTGTAACTATTATTGTGTTACTTGTGCTACTGTAATCACAGAATATGAAAAAAAACACAGTAAGATAGAAAACAAACTTTCAAAATACTAAAATAATGTGAAAACCCCGGTCTGGAGGGCTTTGGTTTTTTAAGTTTTGTTATTTTAGTACTATTTTCCACAATAAAGTCTTAGTTGGACTTCTCTAGAGACATCAAGTGAGTACTCAATTTAACACACTACAGTTGTGCTCTGGGATTACATCCTCAGCTAAACTTCATTGAGTCTACCTATTTTATAAACTTTGGTAATAAAAATTATTCACATTAATCTATAATACACTGAAATATACTTTAAATGCTGACCAATTGTCAGAACTGCATGTTTATTCATTTAAATGTCTTTATTACTTAGCTTTACTTATAATAAAAAAGTCCTTGCATTTATGGGGACTATCCATGTGTAATATTTAGTTATAACAGGCAGAAGATGGCAAGAGTCTGGGCTCAATATGTGGGAAAGTCACTAAAAAAACATCAACATTTACAAAAATTGCATAAGGAAAAAAAAATAAAAATCTTCCAACCCTGTAATCCAAAACAAATTTTTATTTTCTTTGAACTTTTCAAATATTTCAAACTCAGATTTAACCCCTACAATATTGCTGTGTTACTAAACAGATCATCTAATGGCAGTATTTCTTTTTATTTTAACATCCATTTTCCTGGATGTTAATTTTTATAATGATCAAAAATGCATAAACTCTTCATGCCACCAGTAATTTTAAAACTGTCCAGAAAATTGTTAAATATAACGTTGTCAACTCTAAAGAAGGCAAAACTACTATAGAATTTCTGCAAATTCATTTGCTTCACTCAGGAAAAAAATAATAATCATTAAATCTAATTGGAAAAGAAGAACATTATTAGTTACTGGCACCATTAAGCTACGTACTTACACCCATCTTTATTATATGACCTATCCACCTGCCATCAGTATTTATCCATATATTGTATCTTGTCATAATCTCAATTTATTGGTCTCTAGACACCACCACAATATGAATAATAGATAATCATAAAGAGAAGGAAAGCTTGTGATGCATTGTAAGTACCTACTGCGGGAATGCCTTGAGGACCTAATCAGGATGAAGGTCTCCTTGAGCAAGAGAGAGCTGCTACTCGGTAAAACCAACACTCTAAACAGGAGAAGAGAGGGAAATAGAGAACAGAGAAATGCAATGATGAATTCAAACTCACCCGGCTGGCTAGAGGCAGAACCAGAAGTGCAACTTTTTATCTGTTTGGCACTTCTGTCTCTCAGAACATGCTGAGGACATTCTGAGAAAGGCTTATTAATTTTCATGCTCTAAAACGTAGTAAACAGAAGAGTATAATCTTGGACCAAGTATGTGTGTTTCATCTTGGATAAATTTGTGGTATGACTCCTCAAAATTCGATGCAAAATCAAAAAAATGAAAATAGAAGGTGTCGTTTGTTATCACACCTGTAATAAAAAATTAATAGATTTTAAAAAGTCAATATACTAAAAAAATTTATACTGTTGAGATTTTTTTTACTACTTTTGAGTCCCTGGTCTCAACAAACAGAATTAATCTCATGGGTTTTTATATATCCAGTGGTAGGCATATTTTTACTATTTAGACCATCTTGCTAAAAAAAAATAAGGTGGTCTGAAATGAGCACAGCCAGGGGGAAAACTATGCTGATGGCAGGAGTAACCAGAGGAAATGTTGTTTCTCGAAAGCCCTGAGGAGCTAGGCACAAACAGATGCTTTGTGTCATGGGGAAGTTATCATCTTAGAGCAGAACAGTGATCTATTTAGTCAGAATTTTGTTTCTCACAGTAAACACAGCAGTAGATGGTGCAGAAAGAATGAAAAAAAAAAACCACCAGTCTACATATGAAATGTGCATTCATACTGGCTGAGTGGCAAAGCAGAAAATTAAACATAGCTTTTCAGCTCGGTCTGAGGTCACTGATCTCTCTGGATATCAATTTATTGCCTTTCCTTTGTGCCATACATTTTGGGCCACTTTCATTCCTCAGCAATTTGTATCTTGTTTATGGAACTCATGGACTGTCCTGAACATCAATGGGCACACTGGTGCCACATTTTTCTGTTCTTCTTTGGAAATAACTGCTTCTGCCTACCTGTAGCTTTATTTGTCTTTAGGCATCTTAAATCAATGAGGGTTTCTGTAGAAATCACTGAGAGGGTAATATTGTCTGGAAATAACAAAAAAAAAAAAGTTCCATGGTGTATTTAAATGGTAATCCACAGATTTCCAATGTTAACCAATCTACCGAGTTTACCGTTCTCCAGTTGAGCTTTAAGACAAGGTCTATTATTTCTTTTGTTTCATGTGGACATAATAATCTAATAAATACCTACCTATTTTTTTCTGATATTCCTGCACTACTTAGTCTATTCTCTATGTTTTTTATAGTGTGAAATTGTGGTGGCAGTGACTGTGATACTTAACTGTGCCAATTTACCCAAGTTATAAGAAGGTAGTGTTGACAGAATTAATGCTGTATCTCCTTGCCTTTGATGGAGCTTTTTCTAAAAGCTCTCCTAATACAAATGGATAGGGTGGGGGTTGTGAAATGGAGGGGTCTTTGCAAATAGCATCATTGTCTTTGTAATCCCAGAAGCCCATCACTTTCAGTATTATGGACAAGATGACAATGACCCAGGGGCTACCAAAATATTTATAATCTTTTTAACTTTTCGTTGCCCATTTTAAGCATAGGTATGGGAGTAGAATAATAATTTCAGCTGTTTTTCATTTCTGTAGATTCCTGTGAAATAGTTTTGTATCTATGTAAATATAGGGGGCAATAAACCATTTCCAAAGGACATAACCCTAACACCGATATAATCTGCTTGATATTCTAGTTGAAAAGCAGAACCAAAAAAAATATTCAGCCCATGCAAAAGATCCACGAAACTGTCTTGTATAATCAGTTAGGAACACATAAAAAGCCTGAAACAAGGAATCTACAAAAGTTTTTTCTTTGATTTAAACTGATGGATGCCGATTGGGTTTCATATTTTATTTCATAAAAGCTCAAATCCTCTCAATCCTAAAAAATGTTCTGAATTTTGATTCTTTTTGTATAATAAATAAATTTTGTGTCCTGACCTACACCATGCTTTACGGTTGCATATCCACAGACAGTTGGCTTCTTAAGGTTTTTAGATGGTTTTGTTCTTCCTCCTTATTTTATTTGCATTTTATACTTCGTCCATAAACTGATAAGACATTGAGCTTTACAAAGGGATTAGAATAATTTGTTTGGTTGTTTGAGGGGTTTTTTTACTGTCTAATGTACCACGAGGCTATGGTAAAAAATGCTTAATGTTACTGACCAGAGAGTGCAGAGGAGTCCTTTCACTTTAACATGCTACCAAATGTGCTTCCCCTTCCAAATTCTACTTCTCCAAACACACCACTAGGGATTTCACCTAAACCTTCTGCAGTAATAATCATGTGGCTTTACAGATGCAGAGCATTATTTTTTACCTTTTTTGTGATAGTCCTCAGGAACATGGATTCTCCCTATCATCCTTCTCCATTGTGTTTCAACCATTGTGTTACTTAAGCTTTAGAGTTTTCTTTTTCTACGGTGATTTGGATCTCTAAGTAATATAGTAGAAATATACAAAAAGGAATATAATGGCTCTTTGTACTTGTAACTTTTTTTTTTCTGTTATCCACTGATATTTCTGAAATATTACAGAGGATCTTGATCAGAAGAAGCTGCTGTTACTGTGAGCTGATGCAGAATTTTTTGCTAAAAGGACATTTCAGTTTCTGCATTATGGGATACATATGCTTACTGGTTTTTATTTCATACATACGTACACTTCAAATGTGTTAATTTTGATTCTAAAAGAGATATATAAATAGATTTAGAATTATTTACACATTTTTCTTTCTGTATTTATAGTTTATAAAAGTACTTCCACTTTTGAAGAACTTACTGGATGTTGTGATGTCACAAAAGTGCAAGATTTTTAAAGATTACTATGGATTTATTTGAGGGATGTAGTTGTTTTTTGTTCTATAAAGGGTTTTTTGTGCCTTTATTTTTGCTTTGGTTTGGTTTTGTACGTACATAGGGCATTTTTGTTCTAGTAAGTGTCTATTCAGAGAAATCCTCTGTACAGTGTGGATCAGACATAAGGTATCCAGATAAATTATCATAATAAATGTTCCCTTCTAATGTAGGAAACGTTTTTTATTTTAGCTGTTTGTCTTAGTTTGGAAAAGCTGATAATATCTTGAGAAACTCAGACTGCAGACAATATATATAGACAGAAGTAAATGTGGATACACAAAAATACAGAAATAAGTGTATCAGTATTCATTTAAAATACAGATTAAACACTGACTAAAAAGTTAAATACTACCTGAAGTGCTAATTTTAATGCTGTCACTTTGAGTTTAACATTCCTTCAGGGTAATGTGGGAATAATGGCCATATTTTGGCTTGCTACAGACATTGCGGTTCAAAATTTTGAGACAGAAACATATTATTTTTGTAAGTAAATGAGGAGAGGAAGGACAAAATTAGTATTAGACTGTATGTGTGAAAATTTCAGAGGTTAGCACTTCATGAAAATGAAATTATTTCAGCACACATTTAATATTTAATTGTAGTCAACAATGGCAATAGATTCCAAGTGGCAGTGGATATGATAATTTTCTGGAACAAACGGCTAAGAGCAATTTGCACTCTGCACAGTCTTTGGCAATATCACAGAGAGTTAA